GAAGTGACGCTTGTTTGGACATCTTTGTCAACTTTACCTCTGTTAATCTGCGTTTGAACCAGCTGATACTTGAAAGACAGGACCGTTGATACTGAAAAATCCCAAGTCAGAGCTTGCCTTCATGAGGACCAGTAGCCATAGATTACAAGAAAGCAGAATTGTTTTGCTGTTTAAATAGTTTGTGATATAGTTTGCAGACATGTAAATATGACAAATCTACTGCATGTAATGCATACATAGTATTAAAAACAGATCTACATATGTGTAAAAACTTTTTTTCCCCGATAATTATAAAAAAATAAAAACAACTTAACTGTGAAAAGAAGTACTGAGTCATTTTACATAAGCCCAAACATGCAATCTGCTGATCACTGAAAAGCTCTTCCTGGAACGGACAGACACTCTGACATACAAAAACACACAAACAAGGCCAACGTGCAACACAGGGTACCCCATTACATAAAATTTGGTTAAAGTGTGACAGGACGTTGCTGTAAACCTAGCCCCCAATGCACGTCAAAAAGGTTACAGTTTGAACCAGGAGGATATATATGGGCAGGCGGACAGTGACCACCAGAGCATCAACCCATCACAACCCAACAGTAACTGTGATTTCACCTATCAGCCATGAGGATCATCAACATTGTAAGTGTAATTTTTGCCCATTCACACCATTCATTTGAAAGCAGAGTTGCTGCATAGCTTTGTAAAATCTGAAAATGTTCTTTTTACTGCTGAAAGGGTCCGGACCCATCTCTGGCATATCGGCCAAATTTGGAGACAAGTAAGGCGAAAGACAAGGAAGACTACAGAAACTTTGAGGTAATTAAACAAACCAGCTTAATTCCACATTCATTTATGAGTTGAAGGAAAAAACTGAGGTTATAAATACAGGCAGACATAACTGGCTTTAAGTTTAAAAAAAAAAAGCTGAGCTTCAGAGTGAGCCAAAACTTAAGCAAAATATCAAAATGTGCCTAATACTAACCCAAGGCTGACCACAAGGGGAGTTCAGGTTCTTATTTTCTACTCAATAGAGTCTGACTAAATTTCATCAGTTCTAAAGACCAGATCTGTAACAGCAGATCTGGTCATTCACTGAGTTTAAGCTTCCACAGTGGGGTCAACTCACTGAAAGATAGTTGAGTTTTTACCAGCAGAGGCTGACACAGTTCTGCATCTGTGCTCGGATTTTTAATTAATCAAACATTACAGTCTAATGCAGATTTTCCGAGAAGCTCATTGATTTGATGGTCTGATCTAACTAAACAACTATGTAACCCAGTGTTAAAAACGGGATTAAACGCATAAATATTCATTACTCTCACAATGGGAATAAATATTGATAAAAACAAAGTTAATTATAATAAATACTGATAAAAAGCATGTAAACATAAGTTTAATTAATATGCACATATGTATATGTAATATATAAATGGTGGGGGGGCAGGACTTAGTCCTTTAGAGTGTGTTTGTTAGATCCATTGAGCGACCAATCATTGGTCGGTGTTGTGCCAAAAAGTGATTGTCTGCCAAAAACTGATTTCCGGCATTTGCCAAAAACTGATTGCTTGTATTTAAACTGCTATAAATAACTTGTTGATCTACAATATGTGAAACATATGTCAACTATATCCCCCGTGAATTATATCAAGTCATCTTAACCAACAAACAACATTCCTGTAACAAGGTAGAAGCCGCAATCACTTTTTGGCAGTGACTTTTATATATCCTTTATTTATGCAGTTAAAAAAATTGTTTACTTTAAAAATGTCTGTTTTAAGAGTAATCCGGCCAAGAAGACAGCTGAATTTGAACTATTTTTGAACTATTTTTGCAACAAATGCAAAAATAGTTCTGTAAACATATTTTAAGTGGACAAAAGGAAGCTGATTGATTATAATTAAGTACAATAACACAGCTACAAAGATAATTGAGAAACAGGTCATTTTTTAAAATTTTGTATATAACCCCTTTGCAATACCTGTTCATCGAAGTCTATTTAGCAACATACGTAACGATATTACACATAAAAAAAACACACGGAAATATTGGAAATCAGTTTTTGCTTTTGAGAATCTGTTGGTGTTGGTCTGTGTTTTCAGAGCGGAAACCTAATTGACCGTGTCTTCAACACGTACAGCCTGATGCACACCTATCAAACAGTGGAGTTTGTAAACCAAAAGGTGAGAAAATTAGAAGGAAAAAAAACAGCGAGTAAAATTTTGATCACAACCTGGTACAAAGAAAACATTTTAAAAAAGAGAGACCTGGATATTAAAAATAAGGTCTGTCTCTATGTGAAATGATCAGTTACAGATTCATGAATGGCAGCTTTTAGTCAATGACACTGAACTTGTGCGGCCTCTGGATGAGCAAACTTGACTCAGACTGAGCAAACAAAATAAGAGGTCAGAATCACAGACCAGTCTCTGGCCTTAACATTGTTTACTTAACCTAATTCTCCTCACAAAGTTATACATTGAATATATTGTCATATATTTGACAACATGATGTGCTTTTGCTTAAAC